TCGTGGACACGCCGGCTCTCGCTGCTCAGCTTGTGCGTGCTTCAGAGGTGGCGGTGCCTCAGGCTGGTGGTCATCTTTGTCTTGAAACCTCCTCCCGAGAGTTAGATTAACCGGTTAACCGCTTCGGTCTAGACTTTTAAAGCGTCACGTTCCTCCGGCCTTGCGTGGCTGATTTAAAAAAAAAAAACAACCCGTCGCCTCTTAAATCAAGCTCCACTGATATCGAGGTGCTTGTGTCCGGTATTGAAGCAGGGGATGAAATGCAAAATTTTTCAATCTGACTCTTTCCTGAAAGCCGGCGTCATTTCCCGTGTGGTATTGAGGTCCGGTTCTCCAACACTTACCAGGCATAAAAATCTTTATTATAATGGATGCAAATGATATATAACTTAGTAGGGGGTGGTAGTTTTGGAGATCCTTATTGTTTGAAGATTCTAGATGTCCCTAATTAAACACTAGGTACTGCAGTATCAGTCTTAATTAGTACCTGTGAACCCATTTGGAAATCTTTGTTTTAATTTAACGGAAGAGCCCAAATTTGAAAACTGGGGAAGCATTTTTTGGAATGGTCCCATTCGAAAGGTGTAGTGGGACCAGTAATGGAGAAGCCCCGTTATTCAAATGAGACCGAATTAACGTGATTGCCCTTCGATGCTGGAGAAGCGTGGGGTGGTGACATTTCCGGCTCACAAGTTGAACTTGATCCTACCAGCATGATCTCCCCGCAAAACATAAGACAGGCCACAAGCAATCAGACTTCATTCAGTCCCTGGAACCCATTAGGGAATTGTTGGTAGTGCTAATCGCTCCTTGATTCAAAGGTCTCATCCACCCGTACTTTACAAGAAGTCCGAGTACCTGCTTCAATAACATGATTGGGTGCTTGTTGCATACCCCCACCACCCTTTGTGTAAAGAAATGCCCCCCCCCAATGCACGCACCACCTTAGAAATGAAGCATCACTGAATTAGTAATAGAAAAACACTGGGCTTCTAGAATCGAGTGAAAAACATGGTTTCAACCAATTACAGTACCTCACCATTGCATAAAGTGGCCTTTTTTTGTCCAAAAAGAGGAAGATAAATAAATAAAAGATGTTGCTCTTTATTAAAAGCGTCGGAGTGCAGTGTTTTATTGTAATCCACAGTTAACCCTCGCTCCTCAGTATCTCTTGTAAGTGGGCAGGGTTTACAAAGCAAGCGCTGGGGGAGTTAAAACAGAAAAAAAAGAAATGTGCGCTCACACAGGACGACCCGGGGAGCGATTTCAAGACGATAACTGATTGAGATGCTGATGCGCCGTGAATGGCGGATACACCTTTCCTTTAACCCGCCCAAAAAAGTATCTTCCGTAATCTGAGGATTCTGTGAGGTTTTTTTCCATGTATTTTTGACGTAACCCTCACATGATCATTGCTCTCTTTTGCAGAATGGTTCACGAGTGGAAGAGTAAGAATACGTTTATTTCTCTTTGACTCTGCTAGCAAACGCGCTGTTGGCTGGTACCCACACCCAGAAGCGAAGCCTGGGCCGACACGACCCTAGACGTGCAGTTTTCCTCCACCGCCATCGGCGATCATAGTGCTCTCCCTGGGTCATTGTTGCAGTTTAACTACAGCTTTAATTAAAACACAATTGCCTGGCGAGGCGTAAGTGACTCTGGGTGGGGGTGTGGGGTGTTGGAGATGGAGTGGACAACACGGCCTCGGGTTTTTTTTTTTAGGGTGGGGGGAGACCCGGTACTAATCCTTTATTTTCATTGAGTTCAACGCGGCCAGCATTCTGGGGTCGGCCGCTCACTGATCTCCCCTTGACACCCTCTATTACCACATGAATGCGCGCCGGCCCCTCCGACAGAAGGCAAGAGATTTGCAATTCAAACTGCGCTGCACCAGTCCAAAACTGACACGGGGGCTCAACACGCACGGAGAGGGACTGGCGTGGGTGGTGGGGGGTTGGAGAGGGTGAGACAGAAGAAGAAGGCGAGGAGGACAGAGAGATCAACATATCTCAGAAGCGCACAGTTAGGACGTCCACAGAGGACACGTTTTGAAAAGTTACAACACCGACTTGGCTTGCTTATATGTTTAGGCTACGAGGTAGCTTTGCATATTCTAGTTATTTTCAGATGACCCTGAAATGTTTTCTGCATACTTCAACAAAAACGCTCAAATAAAAGTAAAAGCGTTAATAGTGGAGTGTGCAGAAAAGCGCTGTATAAGTAGGAGGAATGATTACAATCAATAATGAAAAATGTATTCAATCTCTTCCACGAAATATTACACGTGTGCATTTCTAGTTGTTGAAAATTATTTTAAAATTCTAAAAATTCCCCTTTCCCCAATTATTAGTAATCTTCTAAACGCCTCCTAGCTATAATTATAATATACATTTAATTCAATTAAACACATCTTGGCTGTGACGTGCGACGGTACTTACGTCATTTCCTCTATTTCGGTCGAAAACTTCCGGGATACGGTGGTAATATGGCGGCGCCCATATCCTTACATCTGGAATTCGGGTGAGTCTTAATATGAGTTTTTAAACCCGGTCTTGCTCATAGGAAGTGTGTGCTCTGTGGTGCCTGATTTATAAGTCTGGTGCAATTTTGTAGATGCGTTTCCGTATCCCTAACTAATTATCGTGTTGTTATCACTCTGCTATTTGAAACTAACATCTTTGATGTGCATGTGAGCGCGGTAGGAAAATCGTTTGAAATTGATTAATCTGACACTTTCACTGTCTTGAATATGGGATGGTTTCCCTTTTAAAAATATAATATAAAGTTATTTTGTAGAGTGGCCAATGACTGGTAGTTAAAGCATCAATGAAAGATTGATAATTCCGAGAACGATTCACCTTCATGCCTCAGTTCTATTTGAAGGGGTTCATAAAATGTTCATAAATGAACATAAACATGTTCAGACGGGGACAGTAGCTACACCCTGATTTTATTCTTCCTTATTTAGCTGTGGAAATTGGGTCTTATTGTCCACACGTGTACAGAAGATGAAATTTCATCGCTGTGGAATCGAAATGCACATGACACTGCGTTTAGTATTCAGATGAGAATTGTGCCGGTTTTGAACGGGTAGGCTGGTGATAGTCTGCTTTATTGTGGATATAACTTGTAGATCCTCAACAGAACATTAGTTTCAAAGCCTTTCAGTTTCAATATTTAAAAGTTCATAAACCCCCCTCTGCAGCGTTATCAAATGCTTCGCTACGACATTATCTTGCCTCAGCTCAACGGCCGCATATTGCCGATTCAGAAAGTATGAGTTGCGGAATAAACTGTTTGTTGTCACGCTTAAGGTGCTCAAACCGAGCACTGTGCCTTATTGTGTATATAATAATAATTGCTTACACTTATGTAGCGCTTTTCTGGACACTCCACTCAAAGCGCTTTACAGGTAATTTGGATCCCCTCCACCACCACCACCAGTGTGCAGCCCAGCCCCACCTGGATGATGCGACGGTGGCCATAGTGCACCAGTCCGATCCCCACACACCAGCTATTAGTGGGGAGGAGAACAGAGTAATGAGGCCAGTTCAGAGATGGGGATGATTAGGAGGCCATGTTTGGTAAAGGCCAGGGAGAAATTTGGCCAGGATGCCGGGGTAACACCCCTACTCTTTTCGAGAGACGCCCTGGGATTTTTAGTGACCACAGAGAGTCAGGACCTGGGTTTTACGTCTCATCTGAAGGACAGCGCCTGTTTACAGTATAGTGTCCCCCTCACTATACTGGGGCATTAGGACCCACTCAGACCGCAGGGTGAGTGCCCCCTACTGTCCCCACTAACACCTCTTCCAGCAGCAACCTCAGTTTCTCCCAGGAGGTCTCCAATCCAGGTACTGACCAGGCTCACACCTGCTGAGCTCCAGTGGGCTGCCAGTTGTGAGTTGCAGGGTAATAAGGCTGCTGGCTAAATCTGTTACCACTTAATTTATTTGAACGGTTCTTATAGTCAGTGTGACTTACATTTGTACAGTGTTGGATTGAAGCTGTCTACCAAATGTTGTTTGTTCAGGGGTACAATAGCAGCTCCTCGCCCAGGATGTCAACTTTGCTGGTACAAGCTCAGAGCCCTGATCACAACTCCACTCTGCTAACTATATATTATATGATTACCTCATGTTTTTTACATTTAAATCATTATATTATAAGCAGGTACTTAAATCCTGCTTGAGAAACAGAGCAGTTGGATTAGTTTTGCTGCTCTTCTGCTTTCGAAGGTTTGGGAAAAAGTGGAGGTATGTGTGCCAGGCAGTGTAGTCTTACAGAGATGAGCACTGTACCCCTGATCAGGGCACATCTTGGACTGCCTAAAGCAGTAATCTAGTCCAGGGCTACTACTGAAGTAACTGATAGCAGCACTACCACCATGAAGACAGATCCTATCAGATCTTAGAAACTTATCGAGTCTGATTTGGTCAATACTGGGAAGCCAGCATGCTGCTGTAATTAATGTTTGTGGACCAGTAGGTGGTGCTGTTTCCTGTGGACCAGAATTAGCAAAAAAAGGAGGTGTTGCTCTTCAGATGAGACTGTAAAGTGCTTTGCTGCTACTTTGGTCGTGAATTCTTTGGTTATTAAAGATCCTATGGAACTGTTCATAAAAGTGGTAGTGTTAAGGGAGTTCTTGATCAATTACAGTCTGTATTTGCATAATGCTTAATTTGTATTAATTCTCTTATTGGAATTCCTTCCTTCCCCTGCTGTGTAAGGATCTGCTGGCACATAATGGGTGCTGTGGGTTACCCACATGGGTGAAGAGCTCTGGTGTTGGATGAAGTCGGTCTCCTCCTGTATGTTTAGTGTTTTGAGATCATTTGAGTTGAAAAGCTCTGTACAAATGGAATTCATTTTTATTAACTGATCCACTTCTGGGCTCATTGTAATCTAAGGACAAATTCACAATTTTACAGTCAAGCTAAGAGTCACGATAAGGAGGGGGTTTTAAACCGTCTGAAGTTATTGCTGAATGAAGATGACATTTCTGACCTTTGAAAGTTAGTATTGCAGAAATAATTCTGGAAGAAGTTATTAAATTATTATTTTCAGAGACATTCATGATTATATCTGCTGTACAATGGCAAACCCTGCCCTCTGACCCCCAGCTTCTCTCCCTCTCTGTGTGTCTCATGGAGAGCAAGCTGGGGTATGTGAAAAAGATGAATTCCTAATGCAAGAAATTGTATATGGCTAATAAGGTGATCTTATCTTATTTGAAATTTCGACACAAAACATATTTTTAAAACCATTATTTCTTTAATGTTTTTGACAGAAATTCCAGGGCGTAAAACTGTGTATACTGGCTTTCTTGGAGATGTTGTCTCAAGCAGTAAAATGTATAATACTGTACTGAAGATGTTGTTAGCTACTTTACTTTATTTTATGATCTCATATTTTGATATAAATGTGATAAAACAGCATCGTAAGAATACAAAACAAATCTTATTTCCATTGACACTTTTATAGTGTGTTTTGTTATGAGGGTACAGTAATCCTCTCTTTTATACGGTGTCCTGAAATTTGAACGGGCAAAAAGATTTGTAGACGCAAAGAGTAAGAATAGGTAATATACTATAAATTGCCTTCACTATTTGTGGTTTAATTTCTATTGCTGTATTTATTTAAATTAATAGCAAGATGTGTGTGGGTTGCATTATTTACTGTGTAAACACTAGCCTTACTAGATATATCTATGTCATATGTCAGCTTAAATCTTTAATGGATCCAAAAGTTGATTTCAAATAAGCTGTGTTCAATTAAGATCTGACCTTTAAAGATGTACCGGTGCGTAATCAAGGCAGATATGTTATGTGCACTGATGTTTCTTGTCAATAAAATCCTTTATCCTGTCGTCAGTTTTGCTCTGTGTACGTTCCTTGACTTAATCTGGAAAAAAAAGGAAGTGAAGGTAGAATTTGGCACAATAGCACATAGCATCCCTGGAACTCGCTGTTGCAGTCCGACTAATCCGTTTAATGTTTTGATTGAAATCTACTACTTTCAGACAGATTCCATCGAATAATGGCTGTGGTGTTTTTGTGAATAAAACCGAGGTGTATTTCATCATCCACATTCCATGTTCCTTGTCCATCACAAGGCAAGCTCCCAGTGAGGTGCATTTGCTGAGGTATGGTAGGATGCATCACTTTGCAGCCAGCAAGGCCAGATGCTTATCTCCGAGCCTGCATTTAAAACAGTGACTTATCAACAGAGTGCAAGAAAAGAGCTGTTCTTGAATATTTCTTGACCCGATGACCAAGTGGCGATACCTCCAGTGTGTCATTGATTGTGCAGAATTAAGCTCCGAGCACTCTTTAAGTAATTGCAGTTTTAATTACCCCCTCTCCTTCACTCCCATTTGGAAGAAGATAAAAAGACAAGAAAGGAAGTGCACAAGCTCAATAGCTCCCCGGCCTTTCACGGCCCGTTCGCCATTGGTAACCCTGTCCCTCTCATTGAATGCCACCCTCCTAAAACAAGCTGTTGTTTTCTGCACTACAAATAGGATTCTTTCAGGAGCATATCTGTTTTGGTCTTTCACTCTTCCTTCCATTATGTTCGCCCTAATTGAACTGTAGCACAAAAGACGAGGGTTAATCGTTAATGGCAAAGAGTGTTTAAATGACTGCTGACTGCCAGAGAATACTTAATGCTCTTTTTGGGGGGGGGGGGGTAGGATTTCAAAGGGCCTTTTATATACCACCAGCGCTGATAGTTTATATCGCTGAGAATAGGTGTGTACAGTAGTTTTGGAAAGACAAAGGGTCTTTCTGCATGCTACTCGGGGGCGAATCCGAAATCAGTCATAAATCATTCCAGGGTTCTCCGCAGGCCCGTCAGAGTAGCGGCCGTTGCATAAGGGGAGTTTTCCAGGCGTCTGGGTGACATCAACTAATAGAATTCCATTTGTAGTTTGCAAGCTTTTTTAAGAAGGCGATTGGCCTTTTAAGCTGTTTAGAAAATGAATCCAATTGTGTGTTTATGGAGTATAATACAATTGCTTCGGATGGTTTCGCATTATGGGAATGGAGGTGGATGCTGCACATTGGTGGTGGTAGTGGGATTCCCCATGACCTGTAAAGTGCTTTGAGTGGAGTGTTCAGAAAAGTGCTTTATAAGTGTAAGCAATTATTATTGTAAGACTACTGCAGGGATTATTGTGGTTTTGATGGAGACTATTGCTGGTGGATGCCAGTGTTTTCTGATACTCTGGTCTCCCATGTTTTATTCCTTCATTGAAAGCGAGTGTGTGCTGAAACCTCGGTCTTCGCCGATTTCGTCCCCTGACTACATCTCCCTCCTCGGCGGCTCAGGGGTGCGTGTCAGCGCTGAAGAGTGCTGCTCTGGTACACACAGGCAGTGGAGACAGTGGACTCCTGGTCCGCCTCACTGAGCAGCTCAGACAACAGCTCTTCTTTGCCGATATCATGGGTTTGGCAGCTGTGCCAATCTTTAAATATCTGGGGCACACAACTGCACAGTTTTCCCGAGATGTGAAGCGGTCTTTATTGGGCGCGCACCTGCTCGATGTGGTCTCACACTTGGACCCTTTCTTTTCAGACAGACAAAGATCGGCACTTATTGGACTCCTGATTTCTGTTTGAATAAGGCATGCCTGTTTTCTGTGCGAGCGAGGAACATCTGTGTGGGCTTGTATGGAGGGAAGCATCTCTTAACCCGTTCCTTACCTGTTCCTTGCATGTGCGCGTGCCAATCGGGGAGCAGTTTTGTTCCTCCCATAAAGCAAAATCAAAGGGGAGGGCTGTTTTCTATGACACAATGACACCGATTTCAGGTTCTGCCGAAATAGCTCTGGAGGCAGCTTGCAAACCGTGTTCCCTCCGTCTCATGTGCTGCGGTACTGCCTGTTTTCATGCTCGAGTGGCATGCTGCAAAATTAGTTTGCTCCAGCTCAAGTTGCCGTTTTGTTAGCGCAGCGGTTGTCGGTTTTAGTCTGTGCTGCGTTGCGCCGCGGAACCTAGTGCTGAATTTTCAGTCGGCTTCAAGAGAACCACGCTACAGTTTACATTGCCGAAAATAGAGTGACTTGGAATTACACGCTTATGCGGAAATCCTGTGTGTTTGAGAGAATTAAAGAGACAGACGGTGACATTTTTTGAGTGGCCCTGAAAATAAAGAAAAAGTGTGTGTGTGTGTGTATATATACTGGGGAGGTCTTTTAAAGTCCACCGAAATGAGCGACAGAAGATACAAAATGGATCATTAATGCATTGCTGCATATCCAGTAATTGCAATAAGCATATTGAGTTAAAAGGCTTGGATTGCATTTTGCATGACAAAATGACCCATTACTTATAAGCTGCTCGCTCATCCGTTCACTTTTATGGGTGAGCCGGCCCAACCTCCGTTGTCTAGAATGGACCGTGTCGGAGTAATGCTATGACAAATAAAGGTTTTCCATGGATGCTACCATTCAGTGTGTTCATTAATGGAAATCCAGGAGTTGGGGGGATTTCATTATGGGCATTGGGCTACGGAGCTGTCTTTATTTGCTCTTTTCTTCCCCCCCATCTCCTCTTTTTTTTTTCCCTCTCTCTTTCTTAATCCCAGCATCCTGCTTTTCCTCCCGCATTGGGGTCACAATGGAGATTATTGCTTAGCTGGCCAAAGGGGATTGATCTCCCCGTCTGACCCTGGGGGTCTCTCCTGAATGCAGGCGATTTACTCCGTACGTCCAAGACGGACCAGGGGGCGAGGGGGTGGACCTGCAGGCCGGGACGTTGGACTGCACATCAAACATTCCTGGGGGATCCGGTCACGGAGGTGGGATCTCTGCATTGTGCGTGGCTGCCATTAAAGGTCATGTCCAGCCCTGGCTGTAGGAGATCAGCTTAAAGGGGGGGGGAAGGGAGGAGTCCCCACGGTTCCCTTCCCACGATGTCGGTGCGGAGAGCTCGAGGACACACACCTTGATAGCCGAGCCCGCTTGATCCCTGGATCAAAATGAAAATTGCTCTTCAGGATAAAGGACCACCAACACAGGCGGGCCTTTGTCTGCGCACTGAGCCTCCAGTCTCGCCGAGGCCCGAATTTGTGTTCCTTTTCAAAAGCAGTTTGTAACTCCACAGAATATCAGCGGACATTCTAAGGTTCCTCAGTGATAAAGTGGGGGTACAAAGCAGGACAAACAGTAACAGATAAGAGCAGGCCATTTGGTTCAGTAGTCAGTGGACAATTGATTCGGGGTTTCTTATCCAGCTGTTCCTTGAAAAAGCCGGGGTATTGGCTTCAGCAATGCGCTTCTTTCTGGCCCGCACAAACCGTTATGTAAAGAAACGCCTCCCGTCCTCCGTTTAAATGCACTTCGGTGGAGCTTGTCCCCATGTCCCCTGGTTGGCGTTTTCGCTGCTCGTAGGTCATGTACACTAGCCTGTCAGGCCACCTAATCGCAGACCAGAGGGGACACGTGAACATCCTGTTCTCGTGCCCTGTGCAGGGCCTGACGTCGACGATCACGCAGAGGGCTTGGAGTAAGGAGCAGTCTATGGGAACCCCCAGCCTGTGAGAATCGCCAGCACGAGCCGAACTTGATCGTGTGGTTTAACTTTCTTTTTTCACCGCATAAAAAAGAAAGTGAAGAGAGATTCCATAATCCTTTGCCCCTTAAGTATTATTGTAATACATTCCGGCTCTCCTTTTGAGAAAAAGAGGCGTGAATTTCGGCCGTATCCCCAGGGCTCAGCATATGCAGTCCTGTTGGCGTGCTCGAATTATGTTCAGTGTGTGCATGTTTCATGTCCTGGTTGGTTTCATAAGAAGTCATGCACGCTTTGGAATCGCACAATTGGAAATTACATTCGCCAGTCGTCCATAAATCCATTTTGTGTTTTCTTCTCAGAGGTGGCGCGGAGCTGCTGTTTGATGGGGTGAAGAATCACCACGTGACGCTGCCGAGCCAGTCTGAGCCCTGTGAGTAATGTTTCCTCGAGATTCTGTTGGCAGAGTACTGACATGGTGACAACACTGTCACGCAGTGAAGACGTGACTTGGAGATCTGTATGCGTCAGAAGCAGGGTACCTGTTCTGTGATTGTAACAGAATCTTTGAGCACGTAATAGTGGTAAACACTAGGATGTACTCCTGGGTCTTTGAAAATCAAAAAACCGAAAGACGAAAATATGTACTGTGCTGCATACATGTAGTAATTAAATGTGTCCGGAACACCTACTTGTCCTGGGTTTATCCAGTGGTAAATCATGTGCTATGTAAATCATTTAATTGCTAAGATCCCCAACATCTAATCCAGCTGCATCTTGAAAGTTCCCCAGCTGTCAATTTCAATGACCTGTGCAGTGTAACCCTGCCCGTGCAAAGACACGCACCCCATTTTGGGTTCTGATTCCCACCCGCGACCCCGGTTCACTGATGCAGATAACTGACGTGGAAGTGCTCTCTCCCTTCCCTTCTCGGAGTGGAGTGTCCCGAAAAGCTCAATATAAGCGTAAGGAATTATTAACCCTTCAGCTCCTTTCCAGTCTGCAGTCTTAAGATAAAAACGGTCATCTTCCAAACTCCCCCCCCCCTCTCCAGAGGGGGGCTTTTTCGGGGTTGTTATTTTTCTGTCCACTTAAATGAAAGTGGAGAGCGCCGATATCTTCGGGCTGTATCTACCCACCAGCGTCCACCAGGAAATTAAGCGCTGGTCTTCAGGAAATGAGTCGCTTGAGTGTTGCTTCAAGCACAGACATGTACAGTATGTACGCGCTGATAAGAAGCCTCTTGCCGATGTGACAAAAAACCGAGACATTTATGGACCTGATTGTTCCGTGAACGGGAGAGGGACTGTGTGCGAAGGATTTAGAACGAAGGGCAGCTCTGTCCTATGTGGACAGCTCCGAGCGGCCTGTTTTTCCTTCTCTCGTTTCATCGTTCTCAGCAAACACACTGACACACAGCCCAGAAGTGCCAGATTGATTGGTGCTTGGAGAGTGGTGCCTCGGACCAGACAGGAGCTGTAGCCTGCTCACACTATTTAGAACCTTGTATCATCAGGGTTAAAGGAAACCGTGAGGGTGGGGGAAAATTATTTTTGCGGGTTTCTCTTTCACGTTGTGCTTCGGATATTTTGTTGCACAAGCCTTGATCCTGTCCCCGAAGATCAAACTGTTATGCTGTCGTAAAATATGTGGCCACTTTTTTTTTTTTGTCTGTGTGAAAAGATTTGATTCCCCCCAGCGCTGGCCACCCGTACCCCACCGACGTCTGAATTTCGAGATCTCGGCTGGCATTTTTTTTTTGACAGCCTTTCCCTCTCCCTCGAAGGGCTCCCGAAAAGGTGCAGCCGCATCTGAAATTTCTTTCTGGCTGTTCATTCCAAAAAAAAAAAAGGTCCTTTGATTGCACAAGTGGTGCCGGGCGCCAGCCATTTAGAAGGAGGCGTCCAGAAGCAAAATGCTGACATTCAGCAAAGCTCTGTTTGAGGGCACTGTGGGAAACTGTGGCCTGTCCACTCTTCCTGAGGTCAGTGGAGCCAGGAGTGCCTTTTTATCTGCCTTCCTGTGTTAGGAGGTTTTTTTTCTCTCCCCCCACACGCAAAAAAAAAAAACCGCAGCTCATCAGATATTTTGCGCTGATGACTTCATTAAATATCGTCGCTTTGCGCCCCCACCCCCCCCCCAGGCAGGTGTGCCAGCGGGGCAGGAGCAGGGGAGCGGGGGTGTGCGTGCCCTCTTCACCTCTGAGGCCGGAAAAAGAGCAAGGTTCTCGCTGCTTGGCGATGGGGGGAAAACACACACACACACAAATAATAATCATAAGGAAAAAAAAAAGTTTGGAGCCCCCACCCTCAACCCCCTTCCCCACTCTCCCTTTCCCAGCTTTTTTTCTTTTCCTGACCTCATTGAGATGCCTTTCACATGCTCCACAGCGCCAGCTGTTCCTCTGTGTGGCCGCCCAACACAGGCACTGTTTGCCCATCTCAGGCGCTCCGTCGCAAATCGTATTTAAAAAGGCGCTGCCGCCCCCCTCCTCCGTTTCCACCCAATTTAACAATAGGCCCCAGCTCCCTCCCAACATCTGTGAGCCTCCTTCTGCTGGCCCATTCTTCCCCTAACTGCTCCATTATTGCCAGGCATTCACTTGTAAATGGCGTCAGTGATACTGCTGATGGGTCTTTTATACCCAGCTCCAGGGTCAGAGGAAAGGTAGGCACT